GGCAGCCGCCACTCACAGCCTTGTGGAATCCGCGAACGCTCTCGTTCAAGGAGTAAGTTCCGAAGAAAAGTTGATTTCCAGCGCTAAGCAGGTTGCCAGCAGCACGGCGCAACTGTTGGTTGCTTGCAAGGTCAAAGCTGACCCTGACAGCGAGAGCACAAAACGGTTACAAGCGGCCGGTAACGCCGTGAAACGTGCTACCGATAATCTCGTACGCGCTGCGCAACAGGCTATCCAGCAGGAGGAGGACAGATCGTTGGTTCTGAACCGCCGTATGGTGGGCGGTATCGCGCAGGAAATCGACGCACGATCGGAAGTTTTACGAATTGAGCGCGAGCTAGAGGAAGCCCGAGGTCGACTTACTGCCATTCGTCTAGCCAAGTATAAGAACCGACCGGACCTGACCGATGGGGATGGCGATATGGCGGGCGATCAAAGCGGCTACCAGAGTTACACCACTCGATATGAGACGAGAGCATACGAGCCACCGACCACGACTTCACCTATTCAGACGATGAATCATACTCTGGACCAATTGCAGTCCACCACGCAGCACATCAGTCACCAATTTGCTGATCGACAGAACCTGGTGAGTCCGGAGAAAGTACATTCGACGCAGAGCACGCTTGAGAGAAAGATGAAAGATAGTCAATACCGGTCCATCGTGGATCAATACGGATCCCTGGACAGAAAATACACGGTTGACAGTTACCAGGATAGGAGTCCGTACATCGTTACCGAAAGGAAAATCATAACGGACAATTCGCCAGGCCAGTACAGTTCGATCGAGCGAAGGATTAATCAAGAGAGTTACGTTACGGAGAAGAAACACGCAGATGGAATGGCTTCATTTCCGCCGCCCCAACACATTTCGTACTCAACGAAATCCCCGACTCCTAAAACCGTTCAGGAGCAAACTTCCGAAGACAGGAAGTCTCCGCAGGATCAGCCGAAGTATCCGACTGATCGGTTCTCAAGTGTCAGTCCAATGAGTACGTTCCGTTCCGAGAAGCAGATAGACACACAGCGATTCAGCAGCGGTATTCCGCAGCATCAGACATTCAAGAATGTTGAGAGTAAAGTCATTCCCGGCGGTAGAATCGAAACAGTCACGACGAAGACATATACGTCTACGCCCGGCAAGAGTACCAGCAGCTCCAATTATGAGACTACCGAGGAGACTAAGGAATATACATCTGGCAATGAACTGTCAACGTTCAAGGGCAACGATACCGTTGAAGAACGCATGATGAAGCAATCGATGCACAAAGTCACGGAGAAGAAAACCGTCACGATGACAATGTCGAGTCGGCAGGAGTCTAACACGAAGACTTTTCGTTACGAGGACAAACAATGAAGAGGAAATTACACGATATAACGAAGCCCACTTATGCGCAATGATAGTGCGATAATTTCAGAAACGATTTTAGGAAAAAATAATACTTGCCTAATTCGAGTAGTCTAATACGAAACGAAATAAAATAGATAAAAAATATTTTAGTACGATAGATAGTTTTTTCTCAATTGAGATCAACGATATTTTTAATCGAGATTAATAAAAGAATAACGCGGTAGTGGCTCTTAATCGGATAATAATGCTTTTGTAGAAAGAAAACTGTCGCGTTGACAGTCAATATTTCAATTTACCGTATGCAAGTGCGCTTCGAAACAAAGAGGAAGGATAATAAAGTTATTTATTAGCGAAACGATAGAAAGTGCCCTTAGATAAACGTAACATTCGTGCTTTCGATCAAGTAGCCTTACGAATATATTTAATCGTGAATGCCTACAGTCGCGAGCCATAAAAATCCGATAGCCATAATCGAATTTATGAGACGCGAATTGATCGTACGTACAACATTACATCAAACGTAAGAAAACTTGAAACTTTCGCACATTGTTCTTCATTTTATTTCTTTTTTTCTTGTATACTGCTTACAGCTCGAGGATAATAGAAATAATTATATGCGCTTGATTTAATGTAGAGTTAATTTTATGTTTATTCATTTATGGTTAAGAACTACCGGATTAACAAGAGAAACAACATATCATTTAATTTTATTAATTTTTCCGATGTCGCGCGGCGCCAAGACGAGCCCGGCGGCACATCACCGCTATTAACACTTTCCGTTTTCTCGAATAACTCTTCCGCTTCTTCTCCCCGGCGTTTTGTCGCGTCTCTATTTATTCTGAACATTCTCCACTGTCGCAAGATACTGGTTCTTCGTCTCGATTCTTATATTTTTTTCTAACGCGATTTTATATACCGTTACTTTACAGGCGGTAGCTCATTTTTGATGATGAATTTATTTGACACGAGCGCCTTATATACTTTTTAGCCATCACCTAAGCTTCCACGTCGAGTGAACGATTAGTGCAATTATTATTGTCTTTTACGAATAGATGAATTATATATAAATACCTTCTTCCCTTAGTATACAAAAATTTGAGAGATTCTCGTGACGCTACCGAAAGTCACCGCGATCGTTTAAAGAAAAAAAAAAAAAAAAAAAAAAAAGTACGACGTAGCCTATAAAGTCCAGTGAGCTGCCGCTTTCTCCCTTAATATGTTCGTAGTATGATTTTAAGAAGTTTCTAATATTACCAAAAATTGGATGCTTTACTAATGTGTTTACGTCGCGCGCGCGCGCGCGCGCGCGCGCGTGTGTGTGTGTGTGTGTGTGTGTGTGTGTGTGTGTGTGTGTGTGTGTGTGTGTGTGTGGACGATGCATGCCGAGTGTCGATCAGACTGTTAACATCGAGCTTTTCCAAAACAATGCGCGTATTATGTCATGTACCTTTAGAAGAAATCGTCCATTTGGTTTTGGATTCGTACAAATCGTCTTCTCAACAACGAGACAATAAATTCGAGTCAATAAGCGCCGATTCTCTTCTTTTTTGATTGAGTCTGCTAATCGATCTTAGTTTCCTACATCTGCATTTTGTGATCATGTTATGAGTTACAAAGCGACAGAGAATTATAATTATTTTATGGATTATTTTTAAATTTACATGGATGAGAAAAACGTAAACGGCACGCATCGCGCTCGATTTGTGTGGATCCTTGTATCTTTAGAGGAATGTGCCATGATTTATAACAAATATATCGCAAGATATAACAAATTATACATACATATAAATATATATTAAGATATACACATAGATTATATATTACATTATGTATAAGAAACACAGATCTTTATTAATGTAATCATGTTTCGCATTGTTTTAACGATTTATGTTATATAAAGGGTATTTTTTTAATTGTTCTATAATTGTGTCTTATACAGACTTAGAAATATATCTTTCAAATTTATTTTTCACACGGAATGTTACGATGTTATCAACATTATAATCTTTTTACTTATTATTATTAATCTTGATTACGCGACGAAAGATATTATGATTATTATTATGGTTTGTATTATTAATCTTTTTGCCATTATTAAAATTAAATGTTTATACAAACCTAACAAATGAATAAAAGAATTTCTAACATTTAACGTTTTTTATTCTTCCTTAAAAATTCTTGAAAATTCTATGCGCATTTGTTATACGTGGTAAAAAAATCTTTGAATAATCCGTGTAAAATTGTCATGATTATTCAGATGATGTCATTTTCCTTGAAACCACAGAACATTGTGACGTCTTAAAGATGTCTAAAATACATCTTAAATATTATAAGACGTCTTATTAAATTATAAAAAAATTATAAAAAACATTTTTAAGGCGTCTTATGATCCGATTTATGATGTCTTAAAGACATCTTATTTTTCAATAAATGACTTTTTTTAGACGTCTTTCAGATGTCTTATTTGGAATTTATTTAGACATTCTATAATGACAAAAATTAATTATATGCAAAATATTGAAAGAGGAGGATTTGGACGAGGCAGAATTTGGAATTATCTCCCTAACAGAAACATGATATCATACAGATATTCTGTATTCATACGGAATGTACGATGATCATCGATAATATACGAAGAAAATTCATATAATATCTCTGCATAATATCATTTCTCGTATATTTTCAGGATATATTCAGAAAATAATAAATAAACTTTGCTATTTATACTGCCCCTAAAC